ATCGTAAATTAAATTCGGGAGAACAGACCACAGATGTGCCGTATATGTTGTCCTTTTTCATTCTTTTACAGCGGATTGCAAAGGAAAAAATAAAAATCATCATGAGGAAAAGATACAGCGACTGAAAAGAGCTCTTGCCGTAGATATTCTTGTTATAACATGTCACGGGTAAAATACCAAGTATAACGTTACTCTCATGATGTCTGAGAATAAATCATGAAGGAAAATTGACGGCTCATCCAGTCAAACTGACGGATCAGCTTTATATGTAGGGCAACCTTATGATTTGAAATTATTCATTTCAGCTTTTTTTGAATGGAAGTTCCCCAAACCGGAAGTGCCACCCATAATTCAAAACGCAGTAAGGTCGTCAGGAATAAGGTGGATAGTATTTTTTCCCCTCATACTATGGAAGTCAATGGGTCGGTGTCATCATTCGTCAACTGTCTGGATACTGACATTCTTTAAAATATCATCTTTTGAGTTCATCAGAAGAAAAATGCATACAGGTTTGGAACAACATGTATGTAAATGAGAGAATTGTCATTTTTGGTGAACTATCCCTTTAAGAAACCAATAAATGTTTGACTTTCCTCATATTTAAACAGCGCAGCTTAAGGCCTTTTTGCTTTGGAGTCCAGTGACAGTCCATTTAAAAATCTTACCAATCAAATTCATAAAGTGTCATCCATCTACCAACATTTGCAATGTAATGGAAACAGCAAAATATATTTTCTTCCCTATTGTGTTGTACATCAGAGTAAAAGATTATCACACACACAAAAAAAGTAGGCCGTGTACTTTGTTCTATGCATCGGTTATTCACTCTGGTTTATTTTGAGATGTGGTTGTTGCACTCAAAAGTCGAGGCAGATAAACGTGAGCTTGCAGGGGCGAGTTTAAGTGACTAAATTATTGGAGCATTTCCACCAGAGAAAAGTCTGTCGTTTACACCGGAAGATCCATTTATGACATTGTGATTAAAAACATATGCATGGATGAATCGTTTATGAACCTTAACATGTATTTAGAAAATAAATAGAGTGAAATTTTCTTTCATGCCGACTAAAAAAGAAAATCATATGGCCTGCAAAAAGACTTTCCCATATTTAAACTATTTAACAGGTAACCTTGATGACATTTATATAAAGATTCAAGATTCAAATAACAGGGCATGCAAATACAGACCTAAATAATGACGACAAGCAGTGTAGCAAGAGGGTTCCCGAATTGTCTTGCAAATTGATGCAAAATTATACAGAGTTCATCTAAATAAATATTAATACTCGTCTTGATGTAATGCCAAATAGATACTGCACGTTTCACTGATCCGATCACACAACTAAAACCCATTAAACACCAGGTACATAAATTAGGATCTATTCAAATTTTAGCGAGCAGGTCTAATATCAACATCAACATTTTGTGAGGTATCAGAGTCTTTGACGTTGAGCCAAAAAAATAAAAGGGACTGCAATATACAGCACACCGACTCATTTATATAACGTCTGCGCGGCCCTCGCGTTCTGTAATAAATCCTTCCCTCATGGGTCAAAATGACCTGAAGCCCTAAAATTATTCTTTCTTTTTTTTTTTTTCAGAAAGCTTATTTTATTTCATTTTGATAATATTTATTCTATTTTTTAATGCCATTTTTTGGGAGATTTATTTATATTTTATTTACCTTTAAATTACTAGATTTGATCAATAAATAATAAATAAAAAGTAATTTAAGCACATACCTCACATTCTTTTGACTTAAATTCAAAATAACTATTTCATGCATACACCTTTTAATTCAGCTCAAAATATCTTACATTGGGTGTCTTTGCCGACCTCTTGTGGAAAAAAAAATTATATAACATGATATTGACTATGACTCTAGCCACTATGGCTTTATAGCTCTTTATGGAGCAAATGAGCTGTTCCGCTGGGTCCTAAAGTCAGTTCATTCAGTATGCATTCAGATACACATGTAGACCTTATAAAATAACTTTTTGGTAAAGTTTTAGCATTCTTCGCATTCCATTCATTCCTATGGGGGTCAAATTGACCCACGAGGGAAGTATTTGTTGTTACCTTTTCAAATTACAACCACAAAACGCCTCGAATACATTACATTTTTTTGTGTGTGTATTCGTGGTGCAAGTGCTAACGTGCGACACAAGTTCTGTACTGGGGTCCTGGACCCCTTCCGATGAAGACTTAATTTTTAATTTCTCAAAAATATTTTCCAATTCAAAATGACCCGGGGGAAGGATGAGGGTTAAATGTGTTGATGTAATTTCAAAAGAAACAGGAAGACAGGGTGGTAGTGATGCAACAACTAATCAATAACAAAAATCCACAATGAATTTCATTATCGATTAGTCGCGTCTGCCCCCCCGGGCACGGGAACTTCCGCAAGTAGTGTCAAATTACAGCACTGAATAACGTATTTCTATGGACAAAATGCATTTTAAAATAGTGGAGGAAACAGAGTGAGCTGCTCCTGGAAAGGTACTGGATCCAAGCTCCCCAAAACATGAGAAATTTTTATTTTAAACTTCAAGCTAATGCATTAACATGGCTAGCCCTGTCAGACGCTTTGATAGATGCGTGTGCTACTTAATGTGGGATATGTTTCCTTAGCGCAAAACTTTAATTTTACAGTTATTTATAATCTTATCTGCAAGTGTTTCAAATTCACGCAAGTGTTTTCATTTTGCATGAATGCTCGTCCTGACAGTCTGCGTTAAACTTCAAACTTTACTGAACAAGTAAATAACACATAACAAACGGGACGCATTAGAGAGGGAGACAATTAATATTCAGCGCAGAAATATTAATTTTGCTGGAATATCTGTTGTTGGACGTTAAATTTAGATTTAAAAGTCAACATGCAATTCAAGTACTTTATGAGAGTGGTAACTGTAAAGGGAAAACAGCGCGTAATTGAATATAAAAGTAAGATGTTTCTTACATTTACAGGATAAAGAATGACAGTAACAGGTTACTGTGTCTAGTGACTGCGTCATTCCTCTTATCTGTTAACCGAGTTTGTGTTTTTATTATTATCTTAATTTTTAATCTAGGGATTTAAACTGTCCTTTTTGCTTTATAGCTCTTTTGCATAAAGCATAGATATATTCACTATATATGTTTTCATATTCAGTTGGCACGTTTGTTTGAAGAACAGCATTGGGCAGGATGTGGAATAGTGTGTTCTGTCAAAAATAAACTAAATTGGGCTTTTTATCCAATTAATCTAAGAAACAATTGGCCACCTAATCGATTATGAAAATCGTTAGTTGCAGCCATACAGGGCGGGACATAAATCCACTTAAAAATGCAGCATTCTGTGTAAAATTCAAATGGGTCCGATACGTTTTATGGTCTTTATCGACTCGTACATATGATCCGCTCTGTACTATCGTGTCTCTGGACCGGAGCAGACCGTGTCTGTGTATGTGTGTGTGTCTGTGTGCGACACTAACGCAAAGCCAAACTTAATTCGCCCCAAGGTGAAAAAGACTTGCTGTTAAATGTATTAAAAAATCATTATTCTGTTTCTGTTTTTTGAACATTATTCTGCTTCTGTTTTTATTAACTTTTATTTGTTGTATTTTTCGGTGGATTGTGATTTTATGTACAGCACTTTGAGAAGCTGCTTTTAAAAGGCGCTCTATAAAATAAAGTTTATTATTATTATTGTATATGTGTATAGTACTAAAAACATACTCAAGTAAATTTAAAACATTTAATAGTGCGTCTTTTTCACCTGGGAAAGCATATTTACACTGTCTGAATCGTTCCGTATCCTCTATATAGTGCATTATGTGCCATTCACCATATATAAAAAAGAAAAAATGTAAATGTGTGAGCAAGTGACCGATTTTAGCCGCAGCTTCAGATTCTAGAGAGCATTTGATTGGACAGAAAATCAGATGAGAAGCTGAAGTGCAGAGTGATGTCATCAAAATCATTGATCCGTATTGGCGGAAGTGAGAGACTACGTTTTAAATGCTTGTATCTTCTAAATGCGAATTTTGTCATTGTTTTGGAGCACACTAGCTTATACTGTAGATAACAGTAAGGCTAACAAATTCATACTAAAAGCCAAAAAACATTTTTTTGGATGTCATGGGGACTTTAAGAGATGGCACTATGTTCACCAAATCTAAAGAACTAGCTTTCCCTAGATTTTATGAAAATGGCAGAAAATGGACAGGAGTTTCATTCATTTAGTAGTAATGTACTATATAATAAAGAACACACAGGCACTGTTTTTAATAACAGTAGTTGAGTGTCTGTGCCGCCCTGCACAAACAGGAAGGAGAAAAGATAAGAGAACAGAGCTCAAACTGTCTAACAACTACATCACCGGCCACACAAACATTCACGAAACAACCATATCATCACCCATCCATTTCTCAATGTTTGTTAGTTCACATAGTACACTGACACTCTGCCAGTGCCAGATGATTCACTCAGACACATACAAATAATACATAAATCACTTCTCTATAAACATTGGGATAATACATTTAGGTCAATACATAACAGTCCAATAAAGCAAATGCAAATCTGACTAACCACAGCGTCAAATCTAAATTTAATTACAAGGTAAAACAATCACTTTTTGAAGTTCAGCTCGAGAGATAAAATGCAATGCTTTTCAGGCCTGTGTATCTGGTGGTTGATGCAAGGATTCACTTAAAGTCAACATGAAATCAAAATGTAACAATTTTCATGGTCTTATTGTGAAGAATTCATCAGTGCACATAATACCAAAACATTTTTTTTCATCAAAACCTACTAACTTGGACTTAATTTAACCAACAGGTGTCTGTGGACCGCTTCTCATAACCCAATCAAAGTCCTTAAACATCTCATTTCACATGTCACATTATGGACGTAAAGTGGGTGCAAACGTCATTTTATGTTGAATTTAATAGATTTGGGTTGTTGAAATTCAATAGGATAGATATTGTCCATCTAATATGTTTTCATCTTCTTACCTTCACAGATGCGGTCCAGTCTCTGCCGCTTCACTTTGTGTTTGTCCATCAGAGCCATCGACTGGCAGTTCTTCGGTAAGACCAGCTACGGCCACAGCACGATGAGGGAGAGAGAGGGCACAGCACAGCGTTCAGTCCAGAAACCACCCAAATCCTAAAAATAGCTGTGAAGATCAATTTCACAGGTTAAGACACAGCCCAAAAGCACTTGGACTACCTATTCGCACCATGGGGAAAAAAATGCAAAGATAAAAATGTCATGCATTTTACCTGGTGTAAAATACCTTGACTATTTAATCTGGAAATGTTTCACAGTGAGGCTTCTTCAACCACATAAATGACTTGATTCTTAAAAATAGTGCTGGGAAAATGTCAAATGAAACTACCCACCTGATGATGTCAAGGCCAATCAACTACTCTGCTGACGTCACGGTCTTTATAATGGCAGCTGAAGGGGAGAACATCAAACAAGCATTAGTTATGGACCGAGCGTAGAAAACTGTCATTTTCCCTCATAATTTAAGTTACTCATAAATTATCTGAGGCGTTTGAAAGAGGATAAAGGCCCATATGTCCACTAGCATTAATGCTGTAGTACCTCAAAGAGGCTACCTTTTTAAACTCGCTTCTTGAAGACCATTTCAGTGAAGCATTTGATACTTAAGCTAAATACTCGTAAAACGAACGAATGAGCGCGTTTTCAGAAACAAAATTAACGTTAATTAACATTTCACGTTTTTTTGAGCGCTCAGTTGATAACTTCGTGATTATTAACTTCAGTCTCATTTCGCTTAGTTAGCTCTCTCTCATGAGACTCAATGAAGAAACATGTGACTGTGTAACGTTAGAGTAGTTCAGGACATGAAAAACTACAGAAGAACACATAAATTGGGTTAAATATCCATAAATCCTGACAAGCGTCGTGTCGCCGCGTCTCGATCGCGAGACTGCGCGCGGACAGTCAGTGAGCGCGAGACCAACGGCTGCGGTCTCAAACAATCGCGTTTAACGGGGGAAACTTGCGGTTTCGTTGATTTTACCGGGTGCGTTGAAGTTTTGTCGCGTCCCTCGCTCGCTTCAAGTTCTCAAATTAGCGCTGAGCTAGCTAATTAGCACATGCAGCAAGTCACAATGCAAATGACTACACAATTAACCTCCAAATCCAGTAACGTTAGACAAAACACGCAAAGGAAAACACAAGAGCTTTTTTGTGGTTTTTAATCGCTCTTATAACTATATTCATCTCTGATAGCGTTGGTTCTCTGACTGTGAATGTAACGTACACACTGAGAAAGGCGCTTAGACTGGTTGCTAACTGAGCTACCAAACATTAAACACACACACAGAGTGTGAGAGATACAGTCATAATAACACACTGGAGTCTCACGGCACACACAATCGAGAATCTGAGGTGCGTAATTTGTCAAAGATAGTCCAGAAGCAGGGTAACGCACCCCACTCACCCGAAAAAGCGTCTCTGGAGATTGATGTACGGGTCAGTGTGGTCACGGTAGGTGAATCAACTATTCCCCGCTATCACTCGCCATGAAATCTGCCCAGAAAAGGAAGTCGAGGCCGCACAGACAACGTGCTGTGCAAAGAGCGAGTATTCAGAGCAGAGACATGAGCGATGTACAGTAGAGCGCCTTCTACAGGTCAGTCTGTCATATTGCGGGATCATGCACTTATTTTCTTTTCTTCATACATCATATTTAGGCCTATAAGGTAGTAGGCCCTACTGAAGCTTGTTTCTGCCACGGAATACAAAAGTTTATATCTCAAAATTCTGACTTTTTTTTTCTTGAAATGTAACAAAAAAAAAGTCAGAATTGCAAGATATAAATTCAGAATTGCGAGAAAGTCAAAACTGCGAGATGTGTAAAGCTCAGAATTCCAAGAAAGTCGTCAAAACTGCGAGATATAAACTTAGAATCCTTAAAAAAAAAAAGTCAGAATTGTGAGATGTAAACTCAGAATTCCGAGAAAATCAAAACTGCGAGATGTAACCTCAGAAATCGTAAAGTCAGAATTGCGAGATTTAAACTCAGAATTCCGAGAAAAAAGTCAAAACTGCGAGAAGTAAACTCAGAATTCCTTAAAAAACAAAAAAAATCAGAATTGTGATATGTAAACTCCGAATTCTAATTGTGACCTTTTGTCTCTCGAGTTTATTTCTCAAAATTAAATAAATTAAATTGAATAAAAAATAAGAAAGGTATTTGTGAATCCTCAAAATTCTGATTTGTTTTTCTTACAATTCGCAAAACTAATGCTTGTGTGTTTATTTTTCCATGGCGGAAACAAGCTTCCAAAATATGGAGATTGCTAAACTGGGGACAGAGGGGTAAGATGTGTCAGTAGGTAAGCTGTCTCGCCCCCTAAATTTGCATTATTTGTCGCATGATCATTTATTATTATAGAAAGGGCACTCATATACAGCTGGCTGTAAAATATATTTTTAAGCAGTTCATATAGGCTGCCATTTATGCTTGTAAATTGTGTAAAACCATGTACATTAATTTAGCCATTAATTATTAAACGAAGCATTTCCCCACAATGCTAGCTGTGCCTGTGGGGTAAAATGTTTTATCAGATGTTTAAGGTAAGACATATCAGTGACTAAGCTAGAGATAGTAAGTATTGTATCCAAAAGCAGGAAATGCTATTATAAAATGTTGAAAAAATTACATAGTTAAGGACAATCAACAATCGTATGCTCAGGTATATGATTTGATTCTAACACAACATCTAAAGGCTTATGTTGAGTACAATGGGATGTCCTTTATGGAGACAGAAGGAATTTCTCAGAGAAGTCTTGCCACACAGTAAAATGCTGTGTAAATTTTTAGTTTCATCTTAGAATAAACTGAACCTTTACAGAACAGAATTACCCAAATGAATTTTAACTTGTAAATGAACTAGCATACCATTTAAACCCTGAATATGTCTGCTCCTAAGTTGACTAACTAGACTAGAGCATTGATTGGTTCTCTACCTTTTTGACTCAAAGAACCCAATTTTCCCATTTTCTGCTTTAATTTTGATTATGAGGATTCAAGATTGGATGGATACATAGGAATTTAATTTCTTAAACAACCTTGTAGGAAGACACATCATGGCCAAGATCTTGACCAAAAATTGATGCACCTCTTGATGGAAATAACATTACAACATTTATTTCCATCAAGAGGTGCATCACTTTTTGGTCCAGATCTTGTATTGACAATGCAAGAGTCCAGCACTCTGTAAAGTCTCCTCCAGCACATCCCAAAGACTTTCCCTGAATTTAAGGTCTGGACTCAGAGGAGCCGATTCATGTGTGACAATGATTCTTCATGCTCCTCCCAACCATTCCTTCACAATTTGAGCCGGATGAAACTTGACATTGTCATCCTGGAGTATGGCCATGATGCGTCTTCCAACATGGTTGTTTAAGAAATGAAAAGCTACACACTACATCAGTTAGGGTTAGAAGAACTGTTGCCAAACAAATAACATTATAGAAACATAATAATCACTGCAATAATGATCCAATCTTAGACTCTTAAGCATTTGCCTATTTAAATACAAACAGTCTCCATATTTTGTTTTTGCAAGATAGATGGATAGATAGAAACTGTTGTTTTTTTAGCATTAATTAAGTTAAAATAACCCCCTTGGAAGTTTGCTGAACATGATTGAGAACCATTGACCAAAAGTAGAACTACCTGCAGATATAATGGATGATTCAGTTTTCTTACATAACAAAATGACAGCAGTATAAGATTAAATATAGAAACACTGGAACTCTGGGGCATCTAAATCACACTTGCTGTGCAGATGCAGATCTGTGTGGACAGCAGCTTTTCTGAAGGCTACCCCAACACCCTTTACATCCTTGATACTAATAGTGCTTCAGTAAGTTCCTTAGTCTATACATCTTTTAGACTTAGATGGTCGCGTCCCCATGCACACAAAAACATCATAACAGAAGTCATTGTTGTGAAAGTATTTGAGCAACATTTAATACTTAAACTTTCATGTTATTATCATCCACCATACGTAAACTCATTATTGTACGCAATAGTATTTTCAGTCATCAATATTCATAATTTATATTCACATTTTCATCTGTATCATTATACAATGAAGTTGACCTGGTATCACTCAAAAGACAGTGGAACTGAGAGGAAATCAATCACATTTTCATGCCATGTTTTATCATCTCTTAGGAATTGTTTCAGTCTTGACACACACACACACACACACTCTCTCTCTCTCTCCAATTCCTCTTGCTATCCCATCTTTATTATTTTGGAAAAGAAATAAAGAGTGATGAATCTATAAGAAGAATAATTTAACATTGCAGAAAAAAACACAACCAATAAATTACTCCTTTAAACCCACATCTAGCATTGCTACAGTTACTTCTCTGTGAGAGACAGCTGTAGTATCCTCTCCAGCTCATCCTCCTCTTCCCTCCACTTCCTTTAGGGAACAAAAAGAGGAATGTTATTGGCTGATACAAATGAGGAGAAACATAAACTGTTCCACGTTTTATATTAATTTGAATAGTCACGTTTATTCTCTATTGAACACATGAGATGATGTGGTGAGTGGAAAATCGCTCACATTAAGGGGGCCGTTTACACGACACTGTTTTCAACTAAAAACAGAAAACCTTTTGGGCTTTCATTTACACAAGCGTTTTGGGGGCTTGAAAATGCAAACTTAAAAAAAAAAAAGTGCTAGTTTTTGAAACATTACCGTTATGTGTGTGTGACATCGCCAACTACTGGCCTGGCATGAATAATACAGCCTTTTTAATAATTTTCGTGTATCCATGACATGTGAACGGGATCATTTTAACAACGTTGTCGTCTGTACACGAAACTTTTCAAAATCGCCAAGGAAAAACGTTAAAGTGTTAGTTCACCCAAAAATGAAAATTCTGTCAGTAATTACTCACCCTCATGTTGTTCCAACCCCATAAGACTTGGACTATTTTAACGATGTTTTTACCAACTTTCTGGGCCGGCAGGTTTCAATTACAATAGAAGCCTATGGAGGAGTGAGACAGCTCTCAGATTTAATCAAAGATGAACAAAAGTCTTACGGGGTTGGAACAACATGAGGGTGAGTAATTACTGACAGAATTTTTATTTTTGGGTGAACTAACCCTTTAAAGTCCCACTCCGATCATATTTTTAACTATTTTTAAACATTCCCAGTGGTCTTTAAATTATGATTATGCCATTTTTAGCCAAAATCACAAAACCTGTGCCGTTTTCTGGGACTTCGCTTCAGCAGAGCTGCAGTAGCTCATTAGCAATTCACCTCTGCGTTGTGGGCGGAGCCGTTGGCACGGAGACGACCCTCCCCCTCCCCGTTGCTGAGAGCTCTGTCTCTCCCGCTAGCTTACACCCCAAATACCGGTGGGGCAACAGTATTATATACACATTAATTATTATTATCCGAAGTTAATCAAAGTTATCACCGATCACCGATCATTATTTCACTCCAAGACGTCGCGTGTGGAGACGCCCAGTGGAGTTACTACGTCACAACTCCAGTCTATTTTAGCCGGCATTTTAGCGTCTGCTACTGATTCACAGCCATTTGAATGTAGAAATACTCAGAAATACAACTTTGAACTTATTTTTCTCAAGATATGTCCTCTAACATCAGAAAAATGCCACAAGAACATGTTAACACCTAGAAAAACATTATTTTCATCGGAGTGGGTCTTTAAGGTTTTTAGTACATCATTGTTCCCACAATGAAAATACGAAAAACAAAACATCAGTTGGTGTTCGTGTTTTTGTGACTATTATAGATTTTTAGAAACTGACATATTGTACAAGTAAAAAAAATAGCCAGATAATTCTAATGTTATAGGGACAAAAATGTGAAGTAAATGTCCTTGTCGTGTTGAATATATACAACAAAACAAACATTATTTAAAAATAAGGCTTTGTGTCAGGAGTCTATGATGCCTTGAAACTAGGGGCCTGTACCATGAAGGTAGCTGAACAAACTCGGAGTTACAGGATTAGTTTTGAGTTGACAAAACCAAACCGATGCAATCAGGCTTTATTGGTACCATGACGCAGCTCATCAACTTTCTCTGTCAACTCAGGCTTTGATCTTGAGCTATGATTACTCCACGAGCGCGTGCACATACCAAAGTGACGTTGGCACCGAACAACCAATCGCGTTCGATATGGATAGAGCGAGAGCGATATTTTCTTTCCGCGGAGGTAAGAGATAATCATTCAGAATTACGATGAATTTAAATATGTATTACAAGCTCGAAACAATACGGTCTCTGCTGCCAAAGCAAGAGAAGACTGTTGGAGAAAGATTGCTGATTGTGTTAATGTGTAAGCTAAATAAATACGTTCTTTATTCATGTAAAATTATGTATATATAGGCTATGAATGTATGTGTGTGTGAAATATAGCCTTTATTTTTATAATATATAAAAAAATGTGCATGTATATACTAATAAAGATTAATATTCATTGATTTTTAGATGCAACTCCAAACGTTCTTGGCAGCTGATAAAGACAAAATATAAAAATATAATTCAAAGTAGCCTAGTAAGTATTTACACACAACCTTTTATTAT